TGTTTTTTTAATGTTTTATACCATATGAATAGTAGGATAGAAGAAGTAATTGGTATTTTATTTATTTAAATACAAACATTGGTACACGGGGACACCAAATATACATATGTCACACTTTCTCAGTTACCTCCATGAATGACTTCAGTGCTTCAGCTGATTTATTATCTGGTTATGCTGATCTTCTTGATTATGTTGAGATGACAGCTATGGGAAGATCTATGTGTGCTAGTTCGATGTCCGAGGCTAGTCTATTGAAGAGTTATTCAAAGTGCTTAATCCATTAGTTTCTGTATAGTTAAATCTCAGTGATTGGCTTGCCTTTTTTGTTCTTGATAGTTTGCTCTAGTTTACTGTGTTTTCCTGTTAGTTTCTCCATTCGTCGTATAATTAATTCGTATTTCCTTCTCTTACAACTCATTCCGCTGTTGTTACTAGATCCTATATTAATTTCTGCTTGTCAGCTCTAATGTTCCCTATCACAATCTTGTTTGCTTTAGTGTATTTATTCAGCTTTTGCCTTGAATTTCTGTGTTCTTGTTCGACTGATTTTAATTGCTGTTACTTTGTTTTTCCTTTCCTACCACTATCATTAACACCTCTCTTTTATTGATAATAAGTAAACAGGTGCAAATTATCTAGGTTCAGAGTTAAACTGTTGTGAGCTTTTCGTCAATGGATATTTTGTTGAGGATTCTTTTCCCTTTTTTCTATGATAATTTTACCGTTGTATAAATTGATAGAGTCTGTTGTGAAATATCAGCCCACTGAAGAAAATGGTGTAGGGTGGCGCGATTTTTTGGATTGGTTGAAGTTAGACATTAACACCGTTGGATGCCAGCCGGCTCAATAGTCTAGTTGGTTAAGCGACTGGCGCGAGACTGATAGTTCCTGGGTTCGAATCTCGCGGGGTCGGGGTCGTGGATATGAACTGCCGAGGAGTCCCATACCAAGACGAAACGGCTATCCAGTGCTTCCAGGTTTTCCATGGTGATCTAGCTTTAATTGACTCATGATTTCAACTATTGAAATTACTAAAATCTCCACAAAACCCTTCCTTATTTACGTGTACTATATGACTTGTTATAAATGTAATGAATCTTTTAAAAATATGGTTAGTAGTATCTCACTCAGTCGATTACATCAAATTTTTTTCTGGAATTTTCAAAACTCTCGCGTATCATCAAATCCCCACGGTGTATAATACTTTCACCTTTAATGAATAATTGTCATAGCTACTACGAAATATTTATAGATATCCACATTTTTTGTTAAACCTATTCAATTATTGTCGATTGAAGTGTGGTATAAATTTTAGACATGTTAAAAAGCTTGTAATTTATGGCTATATCAAGGGCATCCACACAGGATGCACATATATCAACATGAGATTGATCAATTACAGTCCCACGTAACAATGGGAAGGTACAAGTAAAACAACACCAAGTGAATTTAAGCGTCACTCTATTGCACAAGCAGGTGGTTATCAGGACTCAGTAACTAAGTGGATAACGCGATGGCGTTTGAAGCGAACGGTACTGGGTTCGAGTCCCAGAGTGAACACGAACAAGTCTGTGATGCAGGTACACGTAGCTGACGAGTCCCAAATAGGACGAAGTGGCGCTCTTAAAACTGGATTTCACTGTTAGGCACTATCCATGTTTGCTTAAACAGTTTGTGACTTAAGGTGATATCGAAGCAATCCACATAGATAATTAGAAAAGTTTTGTTAATTATTTCATTCAGTTTTGATTGACTTACTGAATTCCTAGCATTTGTTACCTTCCAATGAAGCATAGTCTATCGATCATTATTGTTCAATCCACTCTATCTTAATAATTGAATCCATGAATCAGTCAGTCAGTCAGCTACAACATAGGACCAAGCACATAGATGCATCGGTCCAAATTGTCATACTTTACTCATTAGCACAACAAGATGAACACTGGATTCATAGAATTAGTTAATTCAATGGTGGTACTATATATATAAAAGAAAGGTTTCATATAAGGATATAGTACAGGAAGAAAGATTCAGTATGTAGAATCAATTAAAACTAGATCACTATTAAAAAAAACAACCTCAAAGCATTAAACGGTTATTTCATTCTAATATGAGACTCTTCAACAGTACACATTCATGATTCCATCCTTACAAGGATTCGAACCGAAGACTTATTGAGTTTTACTATTTATTTTTCATTCATCTAATCAATTGCATCATCATCATCATCATCTTCAATGTAGATTTAAATTGATTAATTTGTTTTAATTGGTATTAAATGTATTTAGGTATTTGTTTTCTAACTTACCCACCCACCCACCCACCTACATACCCACCTACCTACCTACCTAGTAATTGTACTTAGTTTTAATCATTTACAAAATGTATCCTTGAATAATAATGTGCCAAAAAAGTTTGTTTTTTTTGACTAAGAAAATCTGAGATTATGTCATAGATTATTATTATTACTATTATTATTATTCTATGTAACTGTAATATAGATTGATATACTTTTTTTGTTGTTGCCATGCTGATTATCAAGTTGATTGATTGATGGAATGGTGCCAAATATAAAACTCAGAATCAATAAAAAAAGGATTCTCCCTTTTTGTTTCTGTATTGAAAAGAAAGAAAGAAACAATACTATTCATGATAATGATGATTTATTTATAATATGAGATATATATAACTAAACAATTAATTATCAATATATACTATTCTTGAAGATTTAATCATTGTTTTGTTATATCTTGAATAGTAACTATTGAGATCTATTTCTGGACTAATACTATACATAATATATTTATTGTATGGTGTTATAACTCTCTCTTTCTTCTTACGGTTAATGACCCAGCTATTCCTATTGCTTAGTATTCTCGGACACCGATTCACTCGACAAGTCCCCAAATCAGAACACGGTTGAACAGGAAAAAGATTATATTCCAAATAGCAAGTCAGAAGCACAATAGGGAAAACGTCAGTATATTTATAGTTTTTTACATAAGAAGATTCCAGAATATTCTCCAACTATCGACTAGTGCTGATTGGATAAGAATTAGCCAATCAGCGTGCACCAAAGCAATCATGCACTGAGCATGCTTTAATCTAGTCTATGTCCCGCTAACATATGGTTACTAAATGGATAAACTATGCATATTTATGTTCCTCTTATTATATGCTTTATTTTGACTTATAGACTATTATGATACCATTTATCATTCGTGAGTTATGCCCAATCTATCCATTACTATTTCTTACATCCACAACCACTTTTGGCTACTATCTTGTACAAATGTATATTTTCTATTTTGTAATGTGATGTAATCTATTTGGTTTGTATAGAAACCCAGTATGATTGATATCTTGGAGGCTGAGACTGGTGTTCTGGACTCAATGGGCAGGCAGGGAGAACGACAGATTAGGACTCTAAACTGCTCGTACGATTTTACGCGTCATTAATAAATCATTGTTCTCTAATTGATGGTATAATTATGTTATCTATCAACAGAGTGCACCGAACACAAGTTATAACATTTGACACGAGTTCATTGTTTGTTGAGAAGAGATAGTCTTTAAACTAGTTTTTTTTCTTTTCTTTCCCACCCCAGATACATGAATTCGTCTTTTTTCTTTTCTTTTCTTAATCAAATCATGATTTTGTTTGTCCGTTTGTTAACACTGTGATTAGTTTATCATTATCTTATGTATCTTATGTAATTCATTGATTAATATGATGACTTCATGTTTGTTAATGTGATATATACAAGACATAATTTCCTATCTTTGTTCAACTTCTAATTTCTTTGATTTTATTTCAAATCTTATGATGATATAAACTATGAAATTCAACAAACTAGTGACAACAGTTCGTCCCGTCCTACTTTATGGCAGTGAAACATGGCCGGTAAGAGTAGAGGATATTCGTAGGTTGCTATTATTCGATCATAGATGTCTTCGAAACATTGCTCGTATATCATGGGACCATCGAGTAAGTAACACAGTTGTTAGGAAGCGGGTACTAGCTAAGGATGACTGCCTCGACGTGCGATGTTCAATGGTGTAGGAGTAGATTGGAAGAAAGCTAGGGACAGTCAAACCAAAACATGGCACAAATCCATGAAGTCACTGACAAGTGGACTGAGTCATGTTGGTAGGTGTAGACTATCTGGTTGGGGACCACGAGATGATAGCAACCGATAGTTAGAGACCTTGAATGACATGGCTGAAAATCGTTTGCAATGGCGCAGGTGCATTCACTCTTTATGTTCTCCCAAATTCTAATCTTCTGAATTCTTCATGTCCTTTTCTTTTTTCTCTTTCCAAATATATTTCACTGAATTATACTCCTTGAATAACATCTTCAAACCCTTGTGTTTCCGATTACTGCTTATACTCTTACTACCTTTACCACTATGAGATTTGAATCGACAACTGTATCTCTGTGGTAATGTGGTGTGGCAACTTGAACTGATGTACGTACGTACGAAGTTCTACACGTTGTTACTGACTGACTGACAACATTCAAACGTAAGAAACACCAAATGTGTTAACTACAGAGACAAACTTCAAGAGGTAATTCTCGAAATTCTAATGATGAATAGACATGAAATAGAAAGTTTACAAAGCATTCAATAGATGAAATATATCTATCACCAATTCCAAACGATGAACATTCCACATTGTGAATTCATTGAAATGATCTAAACGTTCAACAATTGTTGTAGTACAAAACATACGTTTAATTCCTGGTGGGGTTGTCTTTTTTCCATTAGGAGTAACAGGCGTAAGTAAGTAAGTAAGTAATTTGCTCACTTCTGAATAGTTACCTACTATGATGAAACAACTGCATCGTACTTTCTGGTTTTTAACTTCTGCCTAACTAACTAAGATTACTTCACGATGCCATTTTTGTGCCTTTTTCCAGTATTATTATCATCAATGCAGATATATTATTTGACATCGTTTTGTTTGCATCCTTCTTTTTTTTTCTTATTTTCTAGCTTGTTTCTTCTCACATTATCTTGTATATAATACTGCTTCCAACAATCATTTTAATACTGATAAAAACAATCATAACTCTGAAATTGCTCATCAACCTAATTTACTTCTAATCAGTTTAAATGGTCTAATCTGGTATCAAGGGAATATATTAGCTGGTACTAATGATCCAGATCCATTGGGTCAATTAAATTGGCTTCGAAAAACATTTGAATGGGCAAGAAAACGAAAAGATAAAGTAAGTTTCTAATTATATGGAATTATACTTTGTTACATATTGGATGTATATATACATCAGAAAGGGGTTGTTGTGCAGGTTGTAGTTATTTCACTAATTGAGATCATGAGTCAATTGAAACTAGACCACCATGAAAAACCGGGAAGAACTGGACGGTCGTTTTGTTACACATCCACCATTGTCATCAGTGAGTTATATATATATATATATAATGATAGTGGAGCAACCCAAATACTCTTCAATCGAACGTGTATTATGTCTTTCGCACAGCAACTTTTTGTCGAGCTTCCTGAAATATTGAATCATATCTTATTATGACATCAACTCTCTGTCATTATTTATTTGATTTTTGAATCAATAAGATTCATTAATTAAATTAATTATTATAGAAGAATACAATTTGATCTTTTTTAAAAAAAAAATTTTTTGGTTTAAAAATTTTACGCTTATTACTCCTTGTGACAGAGCATAGGCTGCTCATCAGCATTCTCCATCCAACCCTGTCCCTTTCTAGCTCTTTCCAGTTGTTATTCATCCATTTCATATCTGATTCTATTTCCCGATGTAATGTGTTCTTTGGCTTTCCTCTTTTCCGTTTTCATTCACGATTTCAAGTTATGGCTGGCCTCGCGATGCAGTTTGATGATTTGCGTAATGTATTTCCTATTGGTTTCCATCGTCTTTTCTTAATTTCCTCTTCAGCTGGAATCTGATTTGTTGCTGATGATATCCGGTCAATGTATGTTGAGTATCTTGCATAGACAGCTATTTGTAAATACTTGAACCTTCTTGCTGATGGTTGTAGTAGTTCTCCAAGTTTCAGCTCCGTAAAATAGAATTGTCTTGACGTTCGTACTGGAGATTTTGACTTTGATATTGGTTGAAAGTTGTTTCGAGTTGCTTATGTTCTTCAAGTGAAGGAATGAGACCCTTGCTTTGTAAATCGTCGCCTTTACGTCTGCATCTGATCCTCCTTATTGATTGACGATGCTTCCCAGATATGTGAAAGATTCTACATCTTCCAGAGGTTCGTCATCAAATGTGGTTGGATTAATGTTCTTTGTGTTGTATTTGAGGACCTTGGTTTTCCTCTTGTGTATGTTGAGGCCTACTGATGCAGAGACTGCTGCTACACCGGCTGTTTGTTTAATTTGACCCAACACAAATGTATTGAATTTCATATTGTCATCTATCAATCATATAAGCAAATAGAAATACAGAATTAATACAGCTATACTATTATGTTTGACTTTTTCTCCCATCATATGTATTACTCAGTAACTCTTTTTATTCTCTTTGCTTATTTATTTTTAAAGGTTTTACTTGTTAGTCATTTCCCTCCGGGTGCTTCAGAAAATGCTCCACAATGGTATCAATTTCTTCGTCCAGAAATCAATGATCAATTTGTGAATATATTAATTGATAATGCAGATTTATTAATGACTGGATTATTCGCTCATGAACATGTGGATAGTTTTCGATTATTAGTATCTAAATCAAGTTAGTATTCATACAATTTATTCATATAAACCATTGGTATCTTACTAGTTTGTTTAATGAATTATTCTTATGAAGATGAATTAGTTTTCATATATATAAGAGTTGGGATACTGCCATGGTGCTTAAACTGAAGCAAGTAGGTTGGGAGAAGAAGAAGAAGATGATGATGATGATGATGTAGTCGGTGACCGACGATTAGTTCATACATCATTTGTTCTTTTGAAATATTGAAACCCATATGGATCATTGGTTTGAAATGAAGATTTTCCAACTTCCTTAGGTGAACTCTCCGTATCCACGAATCTGGTTAAAGTACCGAACATTCGATTTTCATCTTGTGATTAAGATTTATAATCATTTATCAAAAAAAAAATAATATTTAATTCCTTCTTATAGAATCTTTTCATTTCTATTTCATTTGTTTTTAGATGTACCATTAGCATCTTTATTTCTTATGCCTTCCATTTCTCCATTAATGTTACATGGATTAGGTGATTTTAATCCACGTATTCGATTATATCGATTTAAACGTTCCACAATGACTCTATTAGGTTATTCACAATATTATTTTAATTTACAAAATCAATTATTCAATTCTGATCCATTCAATTATTGGCAATTAGAATATGATACAATGGATACATATCATTTAACTGATTTATCTGCAAATTCATTCAATCTATTATGGTATAATTTCTCTAAAGAAGATAATCATTATTGGTCAAAATATTGGAATTATGAATTAGGCGGTCGACCACATGTATTCAAACCAAATTATCTTACAGAGAATGGTCTTTGTCCACGAGCTAAATCCCAATGTCGATGTGATCATTTATGTGCTATACGATTTTTGATTATATCCGATTTAACTAATTGTCTTCAATTATGTAAAGATATAAAATATATTCAAGACAATGAATTAGCTGACAATGGTGGTGATAATAGTCTTCAACATCCAATGTTTGCTGATGGTGTGGTTGCTCCTGATTATCCTAATAAAAATAGCACCTATTTAAATCATTCAATTAACAATCAAACAAGTATTACAAATTCTAATGAACGTAGTAGTCTACCATATATTATTGGTGTGATTGTTGCCTTTTTAGTGGTATTAGTCGGTATTGTTTTAATTGTTAATCGTGAAGTATGTAATCGACATAGAGTTTATCATCAGCGTACATCATTACTGGCCAGTGTAATCGGTATCAATGGAACTAATCCTGGAAGTATCGGTGGGAATGGTCTATTTTTAAATACAATCAATGGTGCATTACCCAGCTCTTCATTTCTTCATGGATCATGTTCAGTTGCTAAAGATAACGATCATTGTACCGGTGGTTCGTGTATTGAATTGCGTACAGCTTTTCATCCATCCTATGATGATTTCTATTCGGAATATCTTAATAAATCTGTCACATCTTTAAATGCAATCACATTCTCCAACGGTACTACTACTACTACTAATAATAATAATAATCATAAAGAATCAGATCGAATGATGAATCAATACAATGTAGAGAATTCCTTTACTCCATTGGAGCATAATGATACAATCCTGTCACCATCTCATATGATTTCCTACTATGAAAATCCTAGTGATAATAGTAGTAATAATAATAATAATAACCAAAGCATAAAACAAAAGTATATTAGTAAACGATATTCCCTACCGAATTATGCTTATTTTAAAAAATATCTATCTAGTCATATTAATCCAACTGGTCGAATGGTGTATGTAGTGAATCAACTATTTGATCGTTGTGGGCACACTAGTAGTCGGGTAAGTCATATACACAATAATGATACTGTTAATAATAATAATAATAGTAATAATATGAATGTAAACACTACTAATACTAACATTGGTAATTGTAATAATACTGAACAATATGTGTTGAATAAAATCTCATCAACTGATGAGAAAAGTTATACAACATCTGAAAGATCATCCAATAGTCAACATACACAATCACAAAACATTTATCATCATTATCGTCAAAACAACAGTTGCCTTCCTGAAGATTATTATGCTGATGATGAAGCGTTCGGTGATGAAGACTATAATGATCTTCATCATAATACTCATGTTTATTATCATTCACAGAAAGATCAGAACAACAAAACAAATAATATCTGTACTGATACAGTTGCTGATAGGGATAATCATCAAGATCAAAGAGAATTATCAATATTATCACAAACTGGTTATCATCAATTAACTAGTAATAAAAAGCCTAAATTGAATCAAATAAAAAAACAATTCAGTTCTCATCGAAGTCATCATTATCATCATCCTCCTCCTCCTCCTCATCATCATCATCATCATCATGAACAACATCAACATGATGATGATGATGATGTTCATCGTAAAAGTAGTACCAATGATGAAGATCATGATTCAATGAATGATCATCTTTTTCATTATGATCAAGAATCAAAACTTCTTAATAATAATAATAATAATCATAATAATGTTCATATTGGTAGAAGAAAATATTTCAAAGATCATAAATTCACATTTTGTCGTACAAAATCAACTAATCCAAATGATTCATTCAATAAACATCATGTTATCAATCATTCATCATTTTCATCATCTTATTCTTCACCTTTAAAATCATCTCATTCTATAGTACATAGTCAATCATTAATTCTAAATGAAATGAATCCTAATACTACTAAAGACAATACTACTTTATGTAGTATTAGTAGTAGTGGTAGAAAACATAAATCTAAACATAATCTACATAATATATCAACATCTTCATTGACATGTTTACCAAATGAATTAGATATTCATTTAAACAATAAAATGAAAATGATTCAACAACAAAATTTTGATCATCATCATCATCATCATCATCATGATCTATATCAACAGTCACATTCAAGTTATACATCACCGTCTAAATATCGACCACAATTTTCATTATCATCAATACCATTATCGAGAACACCAAAACATAATCACGATCATGATCGCGTTCATGATCATCATGATCATCACTTGTATCCGGATCAACATACTCTTATTTCATTTTCATTACCAAATCAAACGGATCAAAAATTATCATTGAATTTAGATCATTTAAATAGAAATAATGATGGATTACAACATGATGATATGAATGATAGAAATTATTTAAGTAGTAATAATAATAATAATAACATTATCTCTTTGAAGAATTTCCCCTCAACTACAAAAAATGTATCCATTGTAAATATACCTAAATGTGATTATGTTCGATTGTCTAGTTAATTATTGTTTTTTGGCCTATTGTATTTGTTTATCTATGTAAATATAATTTATCTTTTATTGTTTCTCACTCTGTTCACCCCCACCCCTTTCTATCTCTCCCTCTTGTTCTCGTTCTCGGTCTCATTCTCCCTTTCTTTGAATATTAATATGATATATTGATGAGTCATTTGAAGAAGAAGAAAAAAAACGCACAAATTTACACATGATAAATGATTTGTGTTTTGAGGGATGGGGGTTTTTGTGTGTGTGTGTGTGTGATGTTGAATATGAAATCCTTTGAAAGGTATTTACACCTTTTTATTTATCCATTTTTTTTTGTTTGTTTGGCATCTGTTTTGTTCAAATGTTAGTCTTGTCGTCAAAACAAAAAAGAAAATACACAACTATTTAATATAATCTTTCTATGTTATATGGATGCGTATGCATAATGCTTATTCTCAATGAATTCACCTCCTCTTCCATACTCCCCCGTCTCCATCATGACAACTATACATTTATGTACTCATTTCTTTCTTTTTTTTCTTTCAATCCTATTTGAAGAGAAAGGGAAAGTATTTTTACTCCATCTAGTCTGTTGATTAATATAAGAGAATGTAATTATGGTAATGATAGTTATTCATTTATGGATATTATTGTATCCATGTAATGAATTAGTTCGGTTATTCAGGTAGTTTTGATTACAAATAATTTACAATTATTATCAATGATATTTTAATTTAATTTTGTTGATTATTAAAAACTGATTGCTCATTGTAGGCTTTTTTTCATTCCTTTCTTCTTTCCTTCTTTCTTTCCTTCTTTCTTTCCTTCCTTCCTTCCTTCTTTCTTTCTTTCTTTCTTTCCTTCCTCCCTTACTTCCTTTTTTTCTTTCTTTCTTCGTCTTCTTTTATCCAAAATAAAATCCAATCAGTGTTATGTGTATATTGTAGGTGTACTTATAATGATTTCATTTTTATACTGATCCTCTTTATTGTATTCCCTTGTTGTTGGCCTGATTTTCCTCAACTTCTATACTATGTGTAATTTAATTAGGCGATTGGGATTATGTTCAAGTCAACTTTCATTCATATAACATACAATAATATTAATAATGAACAAGTAGAATAAAACAATCTATTTGTACATATATCTATATATTTAATGTTATTCTATGTTTTTGAAAGTGAAATGTGTTGTTTTTAGATCATGATCTCAGCACAGATACAGAAGGCTCGACTAGCTTTTGCCAACTTGAGTCATTTATGGCGTAGGCGAGATATCCGTCTACAAATCAAAGGACGGGCTTACTGCGCATCAGTTCGTTCCGTCCTACTTTATGGCAGTGAAACATGGCCGGTAAGAGTAGAGGATATTCGTAGGTTACTAGTTTTCGATCATAGGTGTCTTCGAAGCATTGCTCGTATATCCCGGGACCACCGAGTAAGGAATGCAGTTGTGAGGAAATGGGTACTAGGTAAGCATGGCGAATGGATTGATGAAGTTTAGATGACTGGGACACGTGTTACGTATGCCCAACGACCGACTACCTCGACGTGCGATGTTCAGTGGTATAGAAGTAGATTGGAAGAAAGCTAGGGACAGTCAGACCAAAACATGGCACAAATCCATGAAGTCACTGACAAGTGAACTGAGTCATGTTGGTACGCGTAGACTATCTGGTTGGGGACCACGAGATGATAGCAATGGCGCAGGTGCAGGTCCACACTTTGTGTTCTCCCAAATTCTAATCTTTTGGATTCTTCGTGCCCCTTGATTTTCGCTTTCCAAATTTATTTAACCGTATTATACTCGTTGAATAACATCTTTAAACCCTAATGTTTCCGATTACTGCTTACACTCTTACTACCTCTACCACTACGGGATTTGAATCGACAATGATATCTCTTGGCTAATGTGATATTTCAACTCGAACTGATGTACGTACGTACGTAATTCTACGTTGTTACTGACTGACTGACCGACTACTTTAATATTTTCTAGTCTCCAACGACTACAACGAAGACGCTAAAGATCAATTCTACGATAGACTGCAGTCAATCGGCGAGAAGTGTCCAACAAAGGACCTGACTATTCTGATGGGAGATTTCAATGCCAAGGTTGGAACGGACAACACTGGATATGAAGATAGCATGGGAGGACACGGACTGGGAGAAAGGAAGGAAAATGGTGAGAGATTTGCAGACGTATATGTCTTCAATAAACTGGTCATAGGCGGCACCATATTCCCACATAAACGCCTACACAAAACCACATGGACTTCACCGGATCACTCTACACAAAACCAAATCGACCATATCTGCATGAACAAAATGTTCAGGAGGACGATGGAAGACGTGCCTACCAAGAGAGGAGCTGATATAGCATCAGACCATCACTTGCTGGTCGCCAAGATGAAATTGAAACTGAAGAAGTACTGGACAAGGGGATGGACAATAATACAAAGGTTTAATACGGCCTTTCTTCGGGATACTAACAATCTCAACGAATTCAAGATAGTCCTCAGCAATAAGTTCCAGTGCTTTCATAATCTACTCAATGGAGAAGGAACTACTATGGAGAGCAACTAGAAGGGGATCAAAGAGGCAATCTCTTCAACATGTCATGAATTCCTGGGTCACAAGAAGCACCATCACAAGGAATGGATCACTGTTGATACACTGGATAAGATTCAAGAAAGAAGGAACAAGAAGGCAGCAATGAATACCAGTCGAACAAGAGCAGAAAAAGCCAAGGCATAAGCTGAATACAAAGAAGTAAACAAGCAAGTGAAGACGAGCATCAGAACCGACAAACGTAAATATGTGGAAGATTTAGCAACGGAGGCGGAAAAGACTGCAAGAGAAGGAAATATGTGACAACTGTATGACACGACAAAGAAACTCTGGAAATCGCCGCAAAGCAGAACGACCAGTGAAAAGCAAGGAAGGCGAGGTAATCACCAACATTGAAGAACGGCGAAAAAGGTGGGTAGAACACTTCAACGAAGTCTTGAATCGACCAGCTCCACTGAACCCACCCAACATCGAAGCAGCACTCACGGACATCCCAATCGATGTTGGCCCACCAACAATTGAAGAAATCATCATAGCCATTAGACAAATCAAGAGTGGCAAAGCAGGCGGACCATTCAACATTCCAGCAGAGGCACTTAAAGCAGACGTAGCATTCACTGCAAGGATACTCCACATCCTCTTTAGCAAGATTTGGGATGAGGAACAAGTACGAGAAGACTGGAAAGAAGGACTTTGATCAAAATACCGAAGAAAGGCGATCTCAGCAAGTGTGATAAGTACAGGGGCATCACTCTCCTCTCAATACCAGGAATAGTCTTCAACAGGGTATTGTTAAACAAGATGAAGGATTGCGTAGACGTCCAACTTCGAGACCAACAGGCAGAATTCTGTAAGGATCAATCGTGTACAGACCAAGCTTCTTCGACACTACGGCGTGCCTGAGAAGATAGTCAATATCGTACAGAATTCATATGATGGATTAAACTGCAAAATCGTGCATGGAGGACAGTTGACAAAGTCGTTCGAAGTGAAGACCGGTGTTAGGCAAGGTTGCTTACTGTCACCGTTTCTCTTTCTCCTGGTGATCGACTGGATGATGAAGACGTCAACATGTGAAGGGAAGCACGGGATACAATGGACATCTAGAATGCAGTTGGACGATCTAGACTTCGCAGATGATCTGGCTCTTCTGTCGCAAATGCAAGAGAAGACGAACAGTGTGGCAGCAGCCTCAGCAGCAGTAGGTCTCAATATACACAGAGGGAAAAGCAGGATTCTCCGATACAACACAGCATGCACCAATCCAATCACAATTGACGGAGAAGATTTGGAAGATGTGAAAACCTTTACATATTTGGGCAGCATCATTGATGAATATGGTGGATGTGATGCAGATGTGAAGGCGCGAATGGGCAAAGCAAGAGCAGCATATTTACAACTGAGGAACGTCTGGAACTCAAAACAATTGTCAACCAACACCAAGGTTAGTATTTTCAATACAAATGTCAAGACAGTTCTACTGTATGGGGCGGAAACCTGGAGAACTACGAAAGCCATCATCCAGAAAATACAGGTGTTTATTAACAATTGTCTACGCAAAATACTTCAGACCCGTTGGCCGGACACTATCAGCAACACCGTACTGTGGTAGAGAACAAACCAGATCCCAGGGGGGAAAGAAATCAGGACGATGATGCGCTGGAAGTGTATAGGACACACATTGAGGAAAGCACCCGACTGCGTCACAAGACAATACCTCACATGGAATCCTCAAGGCCAAATGAGAAGAGGAAGACCGAAGAACTTATTACAACGAAAAATGGAGACAGACATGAGAAGAGTGAACAACGATTGGACAGAACTAGAAAGGAAAGCCCAAGCGAGAATGAGTTGGAGACTGTTGGTCGGTGGTCTATGCTTCATTGTGTGTAGCATGCGTAAGTAATTAAGTATTCTATTTCAGATCATATAATTCACCTTTATATACTGGAAATGGCTTCTATAGAATACTTAAATTCATATTTCACTATTGTCGTCCTATCAACTAGTTCATGTATAGGTATAGTGACGAAATCATTTTCATTGTTTGGTAATACCTACAATGTCGTATCTTAAGAATATAAATCGTAACTAAATCAATGTGATGCCAATAATGAAATGCCAGCAGCTGACAAATTCATATCTAATTAATGATAATTTCTTTTCAATGGTGTAGAATCATCCAAACATTATGGTCATGTGTTTATATCATATTTTACGTTTATAACAGATGAAATGATTATATAGTTTCATAAATATTGCTATTGTAATTATGAACTGGTCAATGTTAAAGCATTATTAGAAATCTGGAAGTACTAGACGATCTTTTCGTCCAATTGTAGGACTCTTCATCAGTGAGTATCCATGACCCTTTCTCACGAGATTCGAGCCCAGGGCCTATCAGTTTTGCGCGTGAGCACTTAACCTCTAAACCACTGAGCCAGTTGGCATTCAACGGTGTTAATGTCTAACTTCAACCAATCCACATAATTACACCACCGTCCATTATTGTCTTCAATGAGTTACTATCTTACAATAGAGCCAGTTGAACTCCGCTGGTCACTGCTTCTTATTAGAACTCTAGGAAATACCTCTTAAAGCTTATCATTAGTGAGCACGAATTAATAAAAAGAAAAATTAGCAACAGCCTGAAATTAATGTAAGTAGAAGAAGTCACGCTGAGGATATTATTCAGTGAATACATACATAATCCATTAGAATTTATCTATCTATCATTCTATTTAATTGTCCATATATTCATCTATTCATAAACCCCTATTTATGTGTAAACATTTAACTAATTATGATAGTTGGGAGTAATCAGCACATTTATTGATTCAATCTTTGCACATAATACATTTCTATTGATTCTACATCATTGTAACATCTTTATTATGATAGGCAGTTACTTGTCTGGTTTATTCAATACTTGTTTTGTATTATTATCTGAATTTATTGTTAAAGTATTTCTAAATTAAGATTGTGTTTATTCTGAACTGAGATTATGTTATAGTGAATAAGATTACATAAATGGGGACAACCTTTGGTATTTGAATATAAGATTACAGTATCAGTTGTGAGATTGTAACTTATTGGTAACAATGGTGGACATGTCGCTCAATTTCGTGGATCAGTTGAAGTTAGACACTAACAGCGTTGAATGCCGGCTGATTCAGTGGTCTAGTGGTTAAGCGCTCGTGCGCGAGACCGGTAGTTCCTGGGTTCGAATCCCGCGAGGCAGGGTCGTGTATGCGCACTGTTGAGGAGTCCCACAATAGGATGAAATGTCCTCTCAGTTATTCCAGGTTTCCCATGGTGGTCTAGCTTCAATTGACTCATGATCTGAACTAATGAAATAACTACAATCTCCAAAAAACCCCTTCTGTTACAGTATCATTTAGTAAAATCTAAGTCTTAGACTTGATTGTTCTTTTGTTTCCACATCAATTACTCTTTGTTCCTTCTCTCTATTTCTTTGATCTTTTTAACCTTCTGCCACCTGTCATTTCACTTTCGATTGATGATACATACTACTGATATCTGTCGATATCAGTAGAACACATCACAATGTATCTTCGTTTAAGATAAATTAATAATATGTAGTCATGATTACAACAGATGAGTTTGAACCTGATACGTTAAGCTTTAACAGTTATTATGATCCATATTT